TCTCGTGGCGGCCGCGATGGATGTTGAATTGTGAGCAGATGAGGATGAGGGTGGAAATCCTCAAATCCCGATGAAATCGTGATTAAATCCTGACTTTTTTTCCGGAGTCATCGCTTCACGCAAGGCGAATGTAACTTCACAAAAATAGCTCGATAAAAAAATCCGATCGGACAGCCGACTTTTCTCAAATCCTGATTTCACGAACGATTTTTCTTCGAATTCTGATGAAATCGGGATTGAATCCTGATTGATCTCAAATCCTGATGAAATCGGGAAAATCCTGATGCTAGACATCCTGATCGCTCAAATCTTTGATCACCAGTCATCAATGGGCGAATCTAAGCGTTGACTTCCGAAAATAACTTTTACGAAGATGAAAACTGTACCTAGAATATAATAGCCAGGGTGTCTACTAAAACAGGCTGGTCAAAAATAAGTACTTTTACAGTACTTTTTCGGTAGGTACATTCTCAAGAAATTCAGTACCTCCTCCGACAGAAAAATTCCGTACTTTTTCAGTACCTCCATTTTACGAAATTCGAAAAATTTCAAAATTTTGAAATCGCGCCAAAAAATGACAAAAAATTTAAAAAAATTCCGGACCTTTTAGAGGAATTTCTGCACTTTTTCAGTCTTTCCGGGCCGCCCTTAAAAAATCGGTATATTTCCGGAAATTCCGGACTTGTAGATACCCTGGTTTCTGCGCGTGCACGAACCAGAGTTTGATTGCGGAAGTTTCCGGATTTAGGATTGGGTGGCACGGGCCGTGGATACCCGCGAGTCCGAAGGTGTCGGGTGGGAGGTTCCCGTGGCGGCCACGATGGATGTTGAATTGTGAGCAGATGAGGATGAGGGTGGAGCACAGCTTTGTGGGTCTGTGGGCGCTTCGCTTTGTTAAATCTTGCTTGCTTCTTAGTGGGGCACACTCACGGTGCGCTATCTGTGCGACTATGAGTTGCGGTGAACCGTGTGGTGCTATGTTACATCCTTCCAGTCTCATAACGGTCGAATTATCAATCGCTCCCATCTGCAGCTGTTCCTTGTGTCCGTCAGCCGTTAGACCACCTTATTGTTTTCTTGTGCCCAATGAACATTTTAGATTACTTCACAGGAAAAGTATCCCGATACTCATTTGCATACATACGATACGGTTGGAGATTTTTTATTGGGGTCGTCAGCAAGAAACAAAAGTCTTCTGATTGTTCCCTGTTTCCCCCTAAAATGGCTGTCATTTGACCGCGAAAGTTCTTGTCCTAAAGAATAGTATACATGATGTCTTATCAGATTCATGGATTTTTCATACTTTAACATTTTTTTTCGTTTCCCATTTTAAATACTTGGGGCAAGGAAAGTGCCGCGAGGACTTTGGTCTTTGGCCCGACATGAGTTCCAGATACAGAGAGAAATTCAGCGACGAAAAATACTTCCTCTACCCACGAGGGAAGCGATAAATAAAAAGAATCTTTACTGGTGGTGATTCAAAAATGAATGCCTAGAATTCGATTATTTTAGAATTCACACGTTAAATTTTCTCTACAGAAATAAATTAAAATAAAAATGATATTACCGGAAATTCTTGCGTGGTATGCTGCAATAGAGCGCTGTGCCCCATCACCACTACGCGGCTCAGCCCCCAGAGGGCGCTCCGCGGATCCGTAATCTGACAAGGGCAGGATCATCAAGGGACTATCTCCTAACGGTAGTCGTAAAAATCATGCAAATCTGCCAAGAAGATCTTCAGAACAAACTGTGGCCAACGAATGATAATTTGCATTGTTAGAATCGGAGAATTCACGATTTCATCACGTAACATAATTAAAGAACGTATAAAGGTTATATTTTCAAACTCTGAAAAGAGCGGGCTCTTTTCGGAATCATCACTTATCGCTAGCTACAAAAATCATGTAAATCGGCGCGGTAGAGCAGTAGAACGAACTGTGAACATAATGAATAATCGA